CATTCCTGTTACTCTTCCTCTTCTTCCCTCAGCAGAAAGGCTTAGGTCCTGCAGAAAAGGCTGGCCAGGGGGTTCTCCTCTGTATTTTATACTCAAGCTGGAGCTGCTATTTTAAAAGTTGATGAGCTCCTACCCCATAATCTGGGGCCTCCACCCCTTTTACTACCCCTCAGGGGCAACTGGGTTCACTGTCCATACCTCTGCCTTGTTCAGGCTCTACTGGGATGTCCTTCCTCCCTTCACAGTCCTGTCACAAACCATTGGATTAGTCTCTAAAATATCCAAACAAAAAAATGACATAAGCGCCCGCTTAACAACACAAACAATCTTCTGCCTCCAATATAGTGGCAACAAGAAAAAGAAAGGAAAAGGATCCATTAAATCACATCCTGCCTAATTAAATCTCTATATTTTCATTCAAAATCTCCCCAGTAGGCTACCTCACCCCTTTTTCCCCCTATCTCTTCTGAATCCCCTCCAACTGAGTCATCTCACTCCAGCATCAGAAACTCCTTCCTACTGCTCCGCACACCTTCTTCCCCAGAAGTTAACTCTAGTCCAGCTCAAAAAAATCTTCCCCTTCTCCTTTGGGTCCTCTGGCAGGGTTTTAAGTAGCCAGGTAACTCCCCCCAGCCCACTTCCTGGCACCTTGAAAGAGCTGCTAATAACTTAATTGGCCAGTCATTAAACCACCCCTTTTCCTCTGTATTCCCACCTGCAGTTCTCTTCTGTTTCTCCTTTCTCTTTATCCCCCACAGCCTCTGTCCCTCCATCTTGCTTTCTCCTCTGTCTAGGAACAGGGCCAGTGTTCCCTGTTACAGAGACCATAAGCCAAATATGAGCCAACAATGTGCTCTTGTTGCAAAATACACCAGCAGCATATTGGGTTTATTAATAGGAGTGTCACTTGCAGATCAAGGAAAGTGATTCTGCTGCTCTATTCAGTATGGGTGAGGCCTTCCCTGGAGTACTATGTCCAGTTTTGGGCCCCAACGTTCAAGAAAGATGTGGACAGATTGGAAAGGGTCCAGTGCAGAGCAACAACATTGAATAGGGACCTTGGAGGCAAGGCTTATGAGGAAAGACTAAAAGAACTAGGGTTATTTAGTCTGGAGAAGAGAAGACTGAGGAGGGGATTTAGTAACAGTCTTCAAATATCTGAAGGGTGATTACTGATGGAGATAGGCTTTTTTCTGTGACCATAGCTGACAGGAACAGCAGTCTCAAGCTGCATCAGGGGAAATTTAGGGTGGAGATAAGGAGGAACTTTCTCACTATGAAAGTAGCCAAGTATTGGAGCAGGCGACTTAGAGAAATTGGGAAATCTCCATCATTGGAATTTTCAAGTGTAGGTTAGCCAAACACTTGGCTGGGATGGTTTAGTCAGAAATAATCATGCCCTGAGCAGAGAGCTAGACTAGATGACTTTATGAGGTCCCTTCCAGCCCTACTTCCCTATGATTCCTATGGACAAAAAAAATGCACCTAGTTTCACTGAGACTGGAATTAAGGCATCCATAAGTAATGACAATTTTGCGGGGGGAAATCTTGCTTAATCCAGCATTTTTAAATATATTAATTGTTTCCATCCTATTCTTATCTATACCTTGAAGCACCCAAAATATTCAAAATACAGAACAGCAATGATTTTTGAGGAGGCTGATGCAGTCTTGACAGGTGAAAGATGACATTATGTCATCAGTCTATGGAAAGTTCACCACAAAAATCCTATAAAAATACCTCATTAAAAATCTTTAGCAATATAGAGCCACTCAACATTTGCCCATCAGCAAAATCAAATGTAGGTTGGATGACTTATGATCAGATGGCATCATTCTCTTGCAAAAGAAACAGTTTAATAATCTTTATATTTAGGAGCTGGGTGATAAATCACACAGGATTCTTTTAAAAGTTTTCAGCCTGACAGGAAGTTACTTTAAAACTTAGAATATTTAAAATTATTAAAATATATAGAAAGTCAGTGTCCATATCTGCTAATACCCATGACAACTAAAGCCAATGACAGCTTTGCTTTGAGCATATGAAGTACAACACATATGTGAAATTATGGTGAATGAAGGCTCCTGGTGAAAGTAGTCTCTAGAAACCAGGACCTCAAATAATTTAATACTGACAGCAAGCAAACACCTTACCATCAGTTACTAGACTCTAACCAAGTTTCAGATATCAAGGCTAGGTACAGACATTCAAAAATCCTTAGGTGGAATCCAATCCAAGTTACACAGTTTTCTGTAAGTGGTATAATTTAGATCAGTAGCAAACAGGACACATTCACCTTGAGGGAGGGAGAGAGGAGGGTATATCTTAGACTGGGTTCCGCCATTTTTAAACCAGTTTGTGTGTCCAACTTCTATTCTGTCATGGGTATAGACCAGTTTCCAATCACTTATGCTAGTAAAAGTGTAATGCCTGTACCTGGCCCAAAAGACATCACAGATCATAATGGAATAGATAATTATGGGTTTGAAACTGATATAATCAGTTACATCCTATTGCCAGGAGAAGATAAGCAAAGAAGAAACATCTCTTCTACCTAGCCCTCACAATGAACATGAACACTCTGAGATCATCACACTAAATATGACAAACTCTCCAAAAAAAAGCCACCAGCAATGTACCAAACAAGTCATCATTTATACAAAGTCAGTCATACAGCATTATTCTCTGGGTACGGATAGACAAACCATTATATTGGTATAACCTGTTCTGACATAACTGTTACATTTGTCCATTCTTATATCAGTAAAATGGAGCTGTAAGTTCAGGTGTGTAAATTTTTAATCACTGTAACAAATATGTTTTTTTCAGGTTTAAAGTTACAGCACTTTAGCTCAGTTTTTCTAATACGAGTGCATATAGATACAGTCAAATCATAATAATGCTTGTTCCCAGGCAGGAAGTCCCCCCTTTTCCTTTGGCAAACGTTTAAAGTTATGTCTGTCCAAAGCCTCAAATGAAGTAACAGTGAAAAGAATGAAGATGAGGTCTATATTTGCCTTTAAAGTGGACCAACAAAATGTACATAATACAAATTTACTCCTTGTCATGGGCAATCTTTACACAAAAGTAGGATATGACAACCTAGAAGAATAAAATGAAGCACAGGCTAGAAATCAGCCAGAATGGCAAGAGATGTACTGAAATTGTGCTTGGTATCTACCATCATTCTGACAACATTTGTATCAATATAAGATTCAGGTAATCTGTCCAAAATAGGAGGTCATATCAACCACAATCTTTGCATTTCCAAACTGAAAATAAAAAGACTAGAACTAGAAAGATTGGCTTTAAATAAAGCAACAAAAATATTAAACAGTGCTAAATGGAAAAATCAAAAGAGTATTGTGATAAATGCCAATCCAAACTGAAGAATAGATTTGGGATATTGTTTGCACAAAAGGAAGGTAAGACATGACAGAACTGAACAAAAAATAAGAGCAGTTCTTGAAGACAATCGGATTCATGCTGCAACATTGCTGGATGCTAGCATACACAGAACCAGAATTAGATAAGCCAAGAATCAATAAACAAAGAGCACTGAAATGCAAACTCCTGAATACCAAGAAGTATAAAATACTAAAAAAAAGAGGAGTACAAGAAAGCAGACAAAGAAGGGAAAAGTACACAAGGGTGGATAAATGAGATATACTGAGCCAAGTAACTGAAAACGTGTGCAGAAATGTCAGTCTGAGGAAAAAACCTCCCATGACCAAGGCTGATACAAATTTTATCATAGACCTAAAAGAGCTGCAGGGTCTGGAGATCCACTGAAGTAGAGATGGTAAATTAGATGTCTTGGACAACGTGTGTTGTGGCTCAAGCACGCACAGCTCTTGCTGAAGCAGTACTGCCCTAGCTTCCCATACTGCTTATAGCCCTCTATTGGAAAACTGCATGGAAGGATGAAAGAAAAAAATCACCATCCATTAGTGTTAACTAGATCAAGCCAGGATACAAGAATTCTGTTTTGCCAAAAAGTATTCCATACTGAAATAGAAAGTGCTGAAACCTCTAACTCAAGGCCCTTTGAAATTGGGACAGAGTTGCCCATTCAAATAGCTAATAATTCAGTGGTTAGGCTGAAAGAGCTAAGATTACTTAGCCCAGAGAAGACAGAGGGGAGATTTGATAACAGTTTCACCCAGTCTGAAGAGTGATTGCAGAGAGGATGGAGAAAGGTTTTTCTCTCTGGCTGTAGGAGACAGGACTAGGAGCAGCCGCATCAAGTTGTAGCAAGGGAAATTTAGTTTGGAGATTAGGAGGAACTTTCTGACTATGAGGGTAGTCAAGCATTAGAACAGGCTACCTAAACAAGTTGTGTAATTTCCATCACTGAAACTTGCAAAAGCAGGTTTGACAGACACTTGGCTAGGATGGTTGAGTCAGGGATGATCCTGCCTTCAGCAAGGAGCTGGACTAGATAATCTTGTGTCCCTTCCACCCCTATTTTCCTATGATTTAAGTTGTGAGACCCCTAGTGTCAAGTTCTGATTGAATTGTGTAGAGCAGGTAGAAGCCCACCACTAGGCTACAGTAAATCCATTTTCTACTATTTGTCGATGAGCAGTAACTCTATGCCAGGGGTTGCCAACCAGGAGTACGCATACCCCTGGGGATACTTTGAAAGGTCCCAGGGGGTATGCGGGAGCAGGTGAGGATGGAGCACAGCCACCCCATGCCACTGCCTCACAGGAGCAGGGCTGGGGCGCAGCAAGAGCAGGGCCGCACAGATGCTGTACTGCCACTGCTTGCCATGCCTCCACTCTGTGTCTGGCTGCTCGCCACCGCCTCCCTCCTGTGTTCCATGTCCAGCTGCTCATCCCCCACCACCACTCAGGGGCACACTTACTTTATAGGGAGGCTGCTGGGGGTACACTTATTAAAAAGGTTGAAAACCCCGGCTCTATGTAAAACCCATAGTTAAGGACGTATACAGTGAGTAGCAACTCACCTGTTTGTCCTTCCAGGAAGGAGCTGAGGGTGCAAGTCTACCATTCACTAGCAAAAGCAGAAGGGAATCTGTTTCTAGAAGAGAAAAAGCAGAAGCAGAAGCTAGCAAAAGCAGAAAGGAATCTTGTTTGTAGACACAGGCACTTTATTATTTATAAACCAATCCTTTCTTAAAGATAGTTGGAAAGTGACTAATTTCTTCTAAACTTGTCAGCCCTTTGTGCTTTTGCATCACAAGTTTAAAAGGTTCACTTCAGCTTCTGAAGCCAGGTCAGTATAAGTGACTCAGACTGAGAACAGCAAGGCCTTCATTAGGAGGTCTGAATGTCACTGAGAGGAACATTTTGCTCAGACGACACTGCTGTGACCTGAACCTTTCAGATGTTCCAGACCTCATGGGATTTCCTCAACTCCCTTTTTTAAACAAAAGGGAAAATATTTCTTATAAATACCAAAGGTAGCAGCATGATCTGCTATGCCTTTCTGCTTTCCACATATGGATTTCCTATCTAATCTTCTTTCTATGTTCTGAAAGTTACCCTTCTTAACTAGTACTACCTACACATGTTGCTCCATCTTCTAGTCCAGTGGTTTTCAACCTTCTTTCATTTGCAGACCCCTAAAAATTTTGGAGAGAGGTGCAGACCCCTCCAGAAACTTCAGATGCGAGTTCAGACCTCCTTCAATTGTGAGTGTTCACATACTTTTGACTGATTGTAGTCATCTTTCATGGAGCCCTTAGGCATAGTCTGCAGACCCCTAGGAGTCTGCAGATCACAGGTTGACAAAAACACTGCTCTGGTTCATCCAAACAAAACAGTTACCTCTTTCGTCCACTGCTCGGATATAAGCATCTCTCAATTTGCATTTCATGCTGGTTCTGTAAAGCATTGCCCTGTGTTAGAGTGTCCTATGGACAGGGGTGGCAACTTCTGGGGAATTATATCAGATGTACAGAACCATGCACAAAGAAAACTTTTTACTACTTAACTACTGTTCAACAGCAACATAGAACTACACTTAACTACAGTTGACATACCACCATACACAAACACATAAAGGTACAAACGCAGTGGGAGATTATTTCTCTTCCATTTTCCAATCACTTCAGATAAGCTCTGATTGGATTTGCTATTTAGTTATCAAGACTTTTTCCCCTTAAGAGAAATCTGATTTATGCTGTGGATTTACTGCAATATTGCTAGGAGAAGGGCTTATGGCGATTTTGTTAATGCAATAATTCTACCTAAATGTGCTTTGCAGAACTTTTTGTGTTAAAGAAGTCACTGTGGTTAACACCAGTCATGTGTACTTAAATTGTTTTTCCTTTCTAAGCTGTTTCCTCCCCAGGTTTCAGACAGCACATTGTGGAAGCCATTAAATGCCACCCGTAAACATGTCCATTTGCTAAATAATACCAAGTGACATATGTTTATAAATCATTATTAAATGGATATGGCTTTTATAGTTTTTTCTTGCAGGTATTATTATATCTGTGGTCTGTGATGTTAATGGGGTTTGTAGTTAAACTACTTCAATATATATGTATCCATCAAGATTAAATATGTTCAAGTATTTTCTTGCCTTATGATTTACTGCTTCTTCAGAACCTCTTTGACAGCCATATGGTGTTCCTGTTAAAGAACTATTACAGGATTTAATGTGTGCATATAAAACTAATACGGCGATGCTACACATAAAGATACCCAGGTTCTCCTATCCTTTAGTATTTGGTTTAAGTAACAGTTACAGCTGATATCATAAATCATAAAGACTTACAGCTATGAATGAAATGACCAAATTAGGTATTCAAGGAGGGCAGAAGAAAAAAGAAGCAAGATTGTCAATTAGCATCATTCTAACAAGTGTCTTGCTTAAGAAGTTTTTAACTTAATTAAAACACAGGCAGTTCTCAACTTGATATAGAACATCCTCCTGTTTTACACCTAGAAATAAGAAACGGACAAGAAAACCAAGTGTTGTTGATATTACCTAGTAAATGTTTTTATTTCTTGAATCCACAAAAGATACTTTCTCACTTGAAATGTTGTTTCTAAGTTATGTGGTGGGAATTTTAACAAATGTGCACATTACTAATTGGTGCTATTTTGCATCTTGTACCGCAATTATGCTTGGATATAATGAACCATAACATCCATGTGATAGACATCACTCAACGCTTGACAAATAGGATGCTACCATGCACATTTAAAGTACATGCAGTAGTCACAAATCACTGATAGATTTTCAGCTTACATGTCTATAATTTGAAACCGTGTACTTTTTTTTGTACAAAAAGGGGGAGGAAAACTATTTTCAAATAGTTATAGCTAATGTGGGGAGCACAGACTACAATTTAAAAGTTCAACACCCATTCCATCTTACTTTTTCATTTACTCATAACTTTAACAAAGTAGGTTTTTTCTGAATGATAAATTTGCCTGCCTATTTTTCAACACAGGGATTTTTTTTTAATAAAAAAGTTTGAGCAAAGTAGTTGATATTTTACTACAATCAAAAAGTATCATGCATTTCACATGATGATCAAATTAACTACTAGTAGTATAACATCCTGTTTTGAAATCTAACAGCAATAAAGATTATTGAATGGTTTGCTCTGGTTTTCTATGTGTATTTTAACTTTATAGTAACCTTACACTGTGAGCCACACAAATGTTGATTGGTATTTGTGTTAGCTCGGAGTTTGGTGCAGTTACACCCTAGTCTAGAAACCTTCTCTGACCATCCCCGACCTACACAGCTGTGACTTACCACTAGACGTTGATGATTACCAGGGCAGGACTAGGTGCTGTACTTGTGAGTTGCCACTGTAGAGGGCTGGTTAGCTAGCATAGGCTTCTATCCCTGCTCTAACTATCTCAGCTAGAACAATCTGCAACACCTCCTCCCCTCCCCAAAGCCCCTTCCCAAACAGACAAATGTAACAACGTGAAGAGTTCTAACAAATATCTGCATAAGTATGATACAGCAATACTTTATGTTATTTATGTAGACTGCAAATACAAAGCGGGTAACCCTCAAACCAAAGATCATATTAATAATATGAAAGCAGCAAGGGTTGGTGTTTGGGTTGGCTTTTTTTTTTTTGGGGGGGGGGTGGAGTTTGGAGTTCAGGGAAGGTTGATGATTTCTTTTATTGGGCCAACTGTATTGCTAAGAAAGATGTTTTTGGTCACAAAGTGACTAAGTAAGGGCATACAATTGGTCCAATAAACAAGACTGCAGAAAAAAGAAAAGAAACCTAACCTTACTTCTCTCATATTTCCTGGACCATTATGGCTACAGCAAGACTTCAACTCTATTACGTCAATGATATGATCAACTGTCCTGTAACACTTGCCATGAAGTTACTGTTGTGTCATAATTTGAGTCTGTTGTTTACCCAGTAAGGGGTCCAAGACTATCACACTTTTTCATTGGCAATGATCCATAATTATGTAGGTACAATTACTTTTCTTGTGAATCCACAGACCAGGTTACACTGTAATTAGACATGAATTTCTTTGAAGCATAGGATTGGAAAAGGCAACAGATGGTATCAACACTGCCTTAAAAAAAAAAAAATGGATTTTCTAAAGATCATCATTCTGCGTGCCAGACTTCTGAATGATATATTTTGCTTAACTTTAACTTCTTTGACACAAAAACAACATTAAACAAGTCAAGAACATGTTCTCAACAGATTTTTCTTCTAAAACACCAAGACACAGCAAAAACATTGGACAAATAAGCGTAAAGTTTTACTACCTGTTCGTTTTTTATATCAGTGAAGTTTACTCGGTAGTTATGTAAGAGCTGTCAAAGTGAAAGCAATGCATAAAATTGTTAGAAATTGCTTTTCATACCATGTCCTGTGGACAAGATATGTGGCAATTTAGGCAGAGAAGTGACTGAAATCAGTTTACCAAAGAAAATTGCATTGCCCCCCTGAAGGCAATTATCATTTTCAAAATCTTTCTGAAAAATAATTAGTTATGCACTTCAATTAAAACTAATTCAAGTAAAGATCTGCTCACAAATTTGCAGGAAAAAAAATTACGTAAAACATGTTTAAGTTACCTGTTTGTGATTGTAACAGGTCCCCTACCCATTACTAGAATGGGAAGGGGTACCTGGCTCTTTCCCCCTCCTTTGCCCTCCTACATCTCCACCTTTTCCTCTCTCACCTTTTGTATATCTGCCAGTGAATCCTTTTCCTGGCTGAGGGCCCTTTTCCCTGGTTTCCTGGTTCCATGGTTCTTATTCTCCTCCACCCCTGCCTTTGATTCCTTCCACTTTGTGTCTGTGTGTCTTCTGCCTGTGCCCTGATGGTGATGCCAGAGGCAAATTCCCAGGCAGGGGAGCCTGAAGTAAGATGGCCACCATGTCCAGGTACAGGCAGATCCCGATGACCTAGGAAGTAGAAGTAGAAGGGTCTTGTGACCTAGCAAGCCCTACATAAGCCCAAGCCTCAGGCCAGGGGAGGCAGTCTGGCTGTGAAAGCTGTTGGGGCTGAAACCTCCTCTGAGAGGTGTGCAGACTAGAGCCCAAACTGCAGTGAGAGGACTTAGGAGGGAGCCCCAAGTGATAAGAAGCTAGTGACCTGAATGGGAATCAAGCTAAATACCCTGGGCACTTTGTTTTCTTTGCCTTTCTACTTGGAGCCTGCCATCACGGGGTGTGGTGAACCCCAAGCAAGACATTTCTTCAAGCCAGGATGGATGCTTGTATTTTGTGGTTTTCCTTTTTCCCCAGAGGGCTGGGTTGTGGCTCTAGAGGAGGCAGAAGCCACTGAAAGAGGGTGACTGGGGATATTCCAAGCTTGAAATTGCTTTGAGTGGACAGAAGATAAGGAATACAGTATATTCTGTGGCCAAGTGAAGCCAAACTTGCCCAGACTGTAAAGTAGAAGGGTAAGAGTATGTTCTGTGGCCAAATGAGGCCAAGCTTGCCCGAGCTGTAAGGCAGGAGGGTGTCCGGGGAAAAACAGTACTCAGGGCTGCCTACACAGCAGATATTGTGGGGTCTGGAACCTGAGGTCACAGGGCATGGCCAGGGCTAGAGGGCTCGGAGAG